ATTGATCTTTTATAACAAGGAATTTTCCATATTTAGTTTCCTATTATCAAATGTTATCCATGTGATCCTTTTTTATGGATACTTTTCTATAAATAGTCCTTTTTTGACTTTTTGTCATGTTGATGTTAATTTGAGGGCTAAAAGTGTAATTTGAGATCAACCTAATGTCCATTTACGTATTCTATTGTCGGTTAAACAGACAACACAACAATAATGACTATGACTTTTGACTAGGATCTCGACGAAAGACCACATTTGTAAATCATAATTGTTGTAGAAAACGACTACAACTCACAAACGACGCATCAGAAGTGACCTCTGGAATTGTGTATGACAAGAATAATATATGATCATTGTAAAGTTAGACTTTTAGTCTTCAAATTAAAACCAACATAATAAAAGATAAAAAAGGTATTATTCGTGGAAAGATACCTATAAAAGAAGAACCATTAGAATAATATTTGATAATATGAGACTAAATAGAAAAAACCACATTATAGATTGGGGATGCCATGTTTGTCCTTCCCACGTCACTCGCATTTTAATATGTCTTGCCGAAATTGTAGCAGAGAAATACTAGTGTTTCTAAGAGTCTATTATAACACCAAAATAATAGACTAAATTTAATTCTACTTAAACAAATGGCTTTCACTTTGGTTATGACCACTTATTTAAGTATTATGAATAATAAAATAATGATGTGCAATTTGAATGTATCACATCACCTTTGGGCAGAAGTGAAACATTTAAATTTTAATGCACATATATATTTAGTTCGCAGTGCATAATTATAACACATCATCTTTGGACAGAAGTGAAAAATTATGTATTTAAGGCGAGTGTCATGCAAATATCTATTTAAGGATATGCACTAAATGACAATGCTTAATAAGACTTGAAATAAATTTTACAAATGTTACACATCACCTTTGGGCAGAAGTGTATTCTAAGGTATTATTCAAGTCAAGCAAAATAAATCAATTTAACTAATCATAAAATAAATTTTATTTAAGATTAGTCAAATGATTTATAAATTTAATGTTAATAATTAATTAACCGCAAAAGTTAAAGCGGTTCGGGGCGGGGCTACAAAAAATTGGGGACCCATTAAGATAAATTTAATTAGAAAATCAAAAGGCATATAAGGCAAGAGATTTTCGAATAAGTAAAAAAAATTTAATTACTTTTTTTTAATGGTATTTTAGCATATCCCTTACTTAGTTTTGCTATTCTTGGTAAAAAAAAATAAATTAATAAATAAGGAAACAGAATATATTATGCAAAAATGAGATATGCCATACAATTTAAGGAAACAAAATTATGTTTCAAAACAAATACCAAAATAGAAGGATTTCATCAAAATAAGGATGAACACTATGAGTGTTTTTTTTTTAAAGATTCGTACTGATTGAAATTTGAAACACAATCAATAACTTGCTTTAAGGAATAAAAATCGGAAACTGATCTAGTTTTTTTTTAATGAGATCTAAACCAGTTTGTAATCATGATTTGCAATATTTAAGGAATTATGAAATCATCTATTGCCGAAAACAATACGACAATCTCAGAGGAAAAAATTGAAAGCTTAAAACAAAATACTTACGTTAGGCTTAGAAACCCCTTTTTTTATAGTGATTAAACAATAAGAATTGATTAGGGTAAGGGATCAGATATTGCAACAAATTATTAGATCAAAAAATTCAAAGATAAGGGATACAAGGCTTATTTCCGATCCAATTTTATCAATCTTTAATGAAAAAAAAAACGGTAGTTTGGTTTTCGAACGATAAGGATTGATTAATCAACATAATGCTCCGATACCACATGTTGATCAATTCTTAAACATAAAAAATATAAATCGGGAATTAAATCATGTGTACCTGATAATCCTGGAAACGTAGTTAGGGATGAGGCCATGATTCTCACGCAGATCGAGTTCCCGTTTAGGGTGTATCGTTATGATGGCTAAGGTGAGGATGACTCACGAGAATAGAGAGGCAGAGAGGAGACGTAAGATTGGTGTGTTCTGATCTCTGCCTAATGACCTCTATATATACACCCAAGGGGAAACCCTAATTAGGTCGTAAGGGTAATTACGTCCATCGAATAATTACCAAAAAAAATACGTAGGGTATTTATTAGGTCAATGATCAATAAATTAGATAAATGATAACTCAGGCCACATAATAAAATCGTGTCCAACACGTCTGGGGTAGGGGCATAGGGCCAAGGCCTATGGGAGAGGCTGGGGTGAGGAGTTTAAGAAGATAAAAAACTAGATAAGTTACATAATTGATCTTTTATAACAAGGAATTTTCCATCTTTAGTTTCCTATTATCAAATGTTATCCATGTGATCCTTTTTTATGGATACCTTTCTATAAATAGTCCTTTTTTGCCTTTTTGTCATGTTGATGTTAATTTGAGGGCTAAAAGTGTAATTTGAGATCAACCTAATGTCCATTTACGTATTCTATTGTCGGTTAAACAGACAACACAACAATAATGACTATGACTTTTGACTAGGATCTCGACGAAAGACCACATTTGTAAATCATAATTGTTGTAGAAAACGACTACAACTCACAAACGACGCATCAGGAGTGACCTCTGGAATTGTGTATGACAANTACCTTTCTATAAATAGTCCTTTTTTGCCTTTTTGTCATGTTGATGTTAATTTGAGGGCTAAAAGTGTAATTTGAGATCAACCTAATGTCCATTTACGTATTCTATTGTCGGTTAAACAGACAACACAACAATAATGACTATGACTTTTGACTAGGATCTCGACGAAAGACCACATTTGTAAATCATAATTGTTGTAGAAAACGACTACAACTCACAAACGACGCATCAGGAGTGACCTCTGGAATTGTGTATGACAAGAATAATATATGATCATTGTAAAGTTAGACTTTTAGTCTTCAAATTAAAACCAACATAATAAAAGATAAAAAAGGTATTATTCGTGGAAAGATACCTATAAAAGAAGAACCATTAGAATAATATTTGATAATATGAGACTAAATTTAAAAAACCACATTATAAAAGATCAATTATATAATTACTCAAAATACTACTCGTATTAATTTTACAAGCGGAAAACAAGATGTACTCCAAAAAGGTAGGACACCAGCAACAATAGCTTCGTAACCTAGTGACTACGTAACCCCACCCTTGAGAAAATGGGAGGATAAAGTTATTTGTACCCCAAAAATTTGCACCCCATTTGGTGTAATGCTAATTTTTGTTAACGCACCAACATTTTGTGTCAATGTAAATTTTTGTTAACGCACCAACACTTTTGGCTTTTTGGGAATATCGTTAGAGATTAACGTTAGGATTTTGGATAAAATTTTAACGGTGCAGATTACTTTGAAAACGCTAATGCTAAAGGCTTTCCGTAGATAGTCTTTTCAAAACACCAACGCTAATTGCTAACGCTATTCCCAAACAGACTCTTTGTGTCAGTGTGAATCATCAAAATGTTGGTGTATACTTTTGGTATACAAATAGGATACAAATTTTGGGATATATGTAGCATGCTCCAAAATGGGAACCCAGACCTCACGTATATATACACTGACATTTTGTGCTAATTTGAACCGTTAAAATATCGATGTATTTCTTTGGGTACACTTTTTATCAGAAGAAGAAAAGAAGAAGGAAAAAAACAGAGAAGAAGAAGGAGAAGAGACCTGAGAGAGAGGGTATGAATGAAGGGAGAGTGGTAAACTACACTCCAACGAACGGACTGCGTGAAGATCCAATAAACACCCAACATAACCTCCGACACCAGCATCCCCATCCACGCCGCCGCCCGTCTTCTTCTTCCTCCTCCTTCTTCTTCTTCTTTCCTTTCTGATGAGATAATGTTTCTGAACCTGTAAATCCATATGAAGCAGATGGCCATGAAAACTGTGGCAGAAAACAACTTGTATGCCCACTTCCATCTCCTTCCTCTTGTCTCAAATAATGGAAGACTATTGTAATCCATACAACTTTTCTTCTATCTCTTCCTCGATTGATCTTTTTCAAGACCAAATATATATATATATATATATATATATATATGGAATTGATTAGCTACGACAGCAACGCAAGAAGCCAAAAACATGAATGCACTTATTCACTCCTAGTCTCCCACCACCAAATTATGAAATTTCAAGACCCGCCGGTAGGCGTTGTGCAGTTGGCAAGGTAATGAGTATCAAGGGTTAATACCGGATTTCGATTCCTGGCAACTGCGCTGGGAGGCAATGATAAGCATATGGACCAGGTGCAGACTTTACTCATTGCCACCAATCTGCGATCAAAGTTTAATTTACCTCCTCTCACTAGCTGGGTCTGTGGGGACCTCGGGGATGAGGCTCATCCTTTTTTTTGGAAATTTTTAAGACCCAAAAGTATTTTGCGTTTGACTTGACACAAAAATTAAGAAGGTATTTTGGGTTAAACTTAAAAACTGCTTATGAGCTTTTGCTTCATTAAAATATTATTTGTCGTGTTTGCCAATTTGTTCCTGCTTATAGATTATGACTTTTTCAATCTAAAATAGGCTGCAGAAGTGTTTTTAAGCAAAGTTAGGAATATTTGCTTTTCCTACTTTTTGAATGATCTACCACACTCTCAAACACCCTCTACGAAAGAAAAAATTACTTTAACTTAAGACCAAAACTCACTCTAAATGCCAAAAACATGACTTTCATTGTTTTTATTCCCTTCGTCTTAGATTATTTGTCTAGTTTTAACTTTTTAAAATCAACAAAAACTGACATTTGACCTAAAATTAAATTAAAAGTAAATAGAACATAATTTAGATAAGGCAGAATTTTGAAAATATTTATAAGATAAATCTAATAAAATTATACTTGTATCAATATCTAATACTACCTCTGTCTTGGAGTATTTGTCTAGTTGTAATTTTTTCCAGTCAACTATTTTCAACATTTGACCATAAATATATATATATATATATACACACACACACACACATATATATATATAAGTTAGGTAAAATAATATTTTGAAAATATTTTATATACTAAATCTAATAAAACTATTTTTGTATCAATATATAATAATATTTTTATTTAATTTTGGGTCAAAATTTATTAATTTTGATTAAAAAATAGTCAAAAGTGAACAAATACTTTGGGACGGATGGAGTATATATTTTATGCAATTAATGGTCAAAACTATCAATTTTTTACTACAAAGTGTTAGAATTAGATAAATATTATAGGAGGAAAGTAGTTTATCAAAATAGAACATGATAATAATGTCAAAGATTATCAAAATATACTGTTTGTGAAATGCTAACATTTTATGCCATGTTATGGCATTTCACTGTGTAAACAATCATAAATAAGACATAAAATATACCCCGTAGTAGAATATTTTGGTTTGGTATAAGTTAGATGTTTTAGTCATATTTAAGTATTTCTTATTAAAAGCGATGAAATTATATATATCATTGAAAAATAATAAAATGGAAGAAACTACATAAATGCACCACAAGAGCTTTTCTTGACGTAAAAAGTGAAGTTTTTTAGAACAAAATGAAATGTAGATTTTTTTTAGTCGATGTTTATTTATTTATCTTTATATGTACTAATTTGTAAATAAAATTTTTGAAAAAAAACAAAAGTATAATTTCACAAATAATTCAAAATGAATCAATTTAATTTTGTTTTGTTGATCCTTCTAGATCTACTCTTATACTATATCTATTATCTTGGAAGGATGAGATGTCAGAAAAAGAAGATAAGTGCTTATATCGGACTACTTTCTCAAAGTAGGTAGATGACATGCTATATGAGAAGTTTTCCAAACGTGTAACATTTTTCCATTCTTTGCTCTAGTCATCCCAATGACTCTTTTCCTCTCCAATTAGTTTGACTAATGTGTCAAATGTTATTTTTTTAAATTATTTTATTAATAAATTTACATAAAAATATTTTTTAAGTACACAAGATTCATGTGCTTTGTACGGTCTCGTATATTTTTATGTAAAATATATCCATAAATTTAATTTTAAAAAATGAAATGAGAAATGAAAAAACTAAGCAGAAGATGTATTAAAGTTGATATGACGAATCACCAATGTATAGAACTTGTAAATTTTGTAAGCACGAAACTTTTTAAATTACTTCTAGGTGACTCCTTTAGACCTATCACTTTTGGAGATTTGGTGATATGTGTTGAATAGACATAAATAAATTCATTTTAACCTCTATTGTAATTGTCATGCTTTAATCCTTTAATTAATTCATTTAGAATTATAGTTTGATGAATATATTTTAGATGTAAGTTTTCATGTACAAGTTTGAAAAGTTAAATTTTTAATGAGAAATTTACCTAAATAGGACTAAAACATAATTACTTTTCTAATATAGGACCATATGTTTTTATTTCCCAATGTAATACCTTTGATCATTATGAAGTAGTCATTATTCAAGTAAATGTTCATCATTACTGGATATTATTCCTCCCACTATGTCATTATTAAGTCCTATTTAGGAAATAAAAAAGTTTAAGTCCTACATTAGGAAAGTCATTATGTTTTAGTCCTATTTAGTGCAAATTTCACATTTTTAATTAAACTTTTGAATACTTTTTAAACATTAAAATTACTACTATTGGAAAATCTACGTATATAAAAATATGCGTGCATACAAAAATTATTAATACTTGGAAAATATATTCAGATAATAGTGAAAAAAGAATAAAAATGTGAATGGAATGAGAACATCATTTTGGCAACATTGATTTTTTTATGGATTTGCGTTGATATTTTTAAAATAATAAATTTTGGTGCTATTTTGAGAAAAATAAAAACATGGGAAACATATTTTAATTTTTTCTATTTGTTTTACTCATGAGAGACCTATTTTGGTTTTTCCTATGCTGAAATTGTACAGAAAAAAAACTAAACAACCATATTTTAAATATTCAAATGAGAGCACAAATTTATACTCTTTATTGAATAAAAACCGAGCACCGCTATATTAAAAAATATATTTCGTGAAGGCCTCCTTTCTCCATGGCTTACATCTTTGACAAATTCTTCCATGGAATGAAGGTTCATATATGTTAATTCTATGAATCTTAGTGTATTTGTGGCAAGAGGCGGACCCACGTTGAGTCCCACGGGGTCCCGGGACCCCACGACTCTCCACGTAGGATTTTATGTATTGATTATTCTGAGATTCTTACTATATTTAAACACAAAGCCTCTAGATTAATGCTGGCTCGTGTAGTGTAGCGGAGCGGATCCCGTGCAGGCTAGGAAGTGGAACGCTGAGTTTTGTGTTCGAATCCCACTTCAAGAGCATGCATAGTTTTTACTTTTTGTCTATTTGTTTATTGTAATTCCCCACTACTTTTCTTAAAAACAATTCAATTAAATTTTAATTTTCTTAATTCTTACTCTTCTTTTTCGGTTTGCTTTGACAATACTTTCTAGTTTTTTTATATTCCCACTATTTCTTCAATAAGAATACAACAATTAAATTTTATTTTTCTTAATTCTTCTTTTTTCTTCTTTGATAGTGCTTTGTATTTTTTAATATATATTTCCACTATTTCCTTTTAAAAATTCAAAAAACGATCAATTAAATTTTAGTTTTCTTAGTTGGATGTGGTAGAATCAATTTTTACTCCATAGTCCATATCTTATTATATATAAATAAAATGTAAAATTTTCTTCATAAAATTCAAGCATAAATAATACAAAATTTAATTTTTAAAAAATCCATAAAAAACAATTATTCCCTCCGTCTCAAATTATATTCACTATTCACAGGGTCAAACTTCATTCACTTTCTTTCTCTATTTTCATTAACAATTTGATAAAATAAAATATTATTGTCACTACTAGTTTTGTAGATCTTTTGATGTAGTATTTTGATATGTAATTTTCATTTTTTAACTTTATATCATTTGTCATATAAATGGATTTGAAAATAATTTCAGTCAAATATCGTAAACCGAAACAGACGCTATAAATTGGGACGGAGGGAGTAGTACTTATGCTTTTATCAATTGAATTCAAAACTTTATATTTAATGAGATGTATTAGAATGCGATTGTTCTTTCTTATGTGCACTCTTTATTTTACAAAATTCAATCATTAATAATGAGTATTTATTTTTTTTAAACCCCAAAGTATAAATGAATGAAATTTAATTTAAAATTACATAGCCTCCATCTTTTTGCATTCACTTTCTTTGAGCTCTGATTATAAATTAAACATATATTTTATTGTAAAGTAATAGAAAATAATTATATTAAACGTAAACATTTTCGTAAGAGAAATTTTTGAATATTCATTCAAATACTAATTCGTAATTTTTTTTAGTGTATTTTAATGAGGGTATGAACTCTGAATACTGAAAAATATAATCATAACTAAAGAGATGGGACCCCATGACTCTCAATTTCTAGATCCGCCTCTGTAATTGTGGCATAAAAGAATTGAGCTTTTTTCAAAAAGAAAATATCTACATATAAGGTAATAAAAAATATGAGAAAGTCGACATTTTAAATGTTGGCCTTATTAGCACGATGTAAGCATCACTCTACGTCCTTATATATAGTAGAATAAGAGTCGAAGGTTTGGATTTCTATAATAGGTTCCTCTCATGGACCAAAATCTTGCAGACCCTGTGGGCTATGGGTATAATCTCATCACAACCCACTCAGATTCTTAGTGAACACAAAGTGTTGACTAAGAAACTATGCTTTATCGTTTCTTCATGACTTATTGAACGGTCAACCATTTTCTTTTGGCATCCTTCGAGGCTCTCTCCCCGTGCATGATGTGTCGAGGCCGACGGGTCTAGATCATACAAAAGCAAAAGATAGCCAAAGATAAAGTGGCTTTGGGCTCCAACGACATCGGCAATTAGAATAAATAAAGAGTTGCACTCCTTGCTCAATCAAATGGTCAATTTTTAGAGGGGGAAAAAGGCTTCCATCAGAATAAAAACAATGTCAAATTGTGGCTGAATGTGGTCGCATCTTGATCGAGAAGACGGATGAAAAAATAAAAAGAGAATATGTCCAAAACTATATTTTGAATTTCTTTATCTATGTTTGGTTATTCTATATTTTTCTATGCTTTTTTCTATCATATTTTTTTTTCTTATTTCAAGTAATACAATCATGTACTTTTTTTAATCCACGTAGTTTATGCCTTTTCAGTTTAATTATTTTATCTTTTGGGCGCATTTAATTCTTAAAACACAAAAATCCCACAAAAATTAATAATCCAAAATGTGGGAAAAAAATATTAATAATGAAAGAAAAAAATAATAAACCCGAAAACCTAATAAAATAATATTTTACTATTTTATATTTTATTTCCTAAAAAACAGAACTTGATTTGAATGAAAATACATAGATAAATACATTTTTTTAAAGTAAAAGTATAGTTATTGCGTTAGATGTGAGACGCTATAAATTTGAAGTATTCATTCTCAAAAACACTCACTCTTTCATTTTTAAATTCGTACAAAAGAGAGCATACACTATTTGAAAGTTTATTAACAAATAAGAGTAAATTTTTAAAATAGTACTCAATAACCATGTTTTTTTCCAAACTAATCTCCAAGATCAACTAATTTTCAAAATGATACACATTAATTGAGAATAATTTTCAGTTTAGACTCTTGACTAACGGCTATCAAATTGGCGTCAAATTGGCGTTTACACTTATATTAATTTTTCAATGTAGTCATATTTAATTAGGTATTTCCCCCAAATTAATCCATTTTTGAAATAAAAGCTCATTAAAAATGGTCTCAACTTTGGTTAAATATCGTAATCAAATTAGAAGGGAAGACACCTGTTTCGGTTTTCCATATTTAATGAGTTTGTACTTAAGAAATGAACCAATTTGTAAAAACACACAATTAAAAGGGACACTTTTGAGAAAATAAGTTTTAAAGTGATTTTGGTGATCATTTGTCGAGGAGACTAAACTGAACATTATTTTTAATTAACAAGTAAAAATTTAATAATTATTTTATGTTGGGGATTAATTTAAAAAATACATACTTATTGAATACTATTTCGGAAATTTTAATTAAAAAAAACTATACGGAGTATTATTTTAAGTGGTGGTTGGGGTTGGTTACGGTCAAAACGGGGATTTCCACAGAATTGCTACGTCCCCTCCCTCCGTTCCGTGGGACATTCCGATCAACATTTCCTCACTCTCATTCTTTCCAAAGGTATAACATGTCAAATTTAACGCAAATTTGTGCATGTGAGATTATATGATACTCGTTTGCATTCCGATTTCGATCGAGAATTAGGTTTCCGGCATAATTTCGCTCAACGATGAATTTTCTGCTGATGAGGTCGAATCAGGCTGCAGCTCCGGCAGAACTGCCGCCGGCGCAGAAGATTCAGACCGACGCTGGTTATGCGCCAAAGCCGGGTAGTACTCTTGGAGCGCTGTTTGCGGAGGATCCATTGTTGCCGACTAAGTCATTCGAGGGTCATGACGGTGAGAGTGATGGACACGGAAATGGAGGTGGGTTTTTTGCTGCATCGGTTGGGAAGGGAAGCCACATTGAGGTTTCTGAAAGCGAAGGGTGGATAGCTATTCCAAAGGGTAATCTTTTGCTTCTTTTCTTGTCATTTAGATAGGTTCTGCACTTATTGAGTGTGTTTGGTGGTGCTTAGCGTTTTGAAAGAAGTGGTTTTTTCGAACATAGAATTTAGAAATGTCTTAAAAGGGATGATACCATCCAGAAAAGAAGTTTCAGTATGTTTCAGCCATTTGAAGGGGATACACCATCATTTTCTTAACTATCCAAAGCCAGAACAGCCATGAGTTAAACATAAAATTCATGACGTTTTTCCAACTCGGTAAGATTTGTATTGTTATGGTTTATTACGTGTTCGACTGTCTATTGTATCATGTAACTCTTGACAATATATGCCAATATCATGGCAGCATATGAGAAGCAATCAAGCTTAACTTGTTCTTCCATCCTCGTGCATTATTTTGCTCCTTACTTGGTTCTCAATGACCCAATACTTTGTTGGCTGCCTCAATTGTTCTGGTAATAAGGGGATTCTAAATTAATGCTTAAACTGTTGCTAAGCTTGATAAACCTATGCAGAGGAGCTTCCCGATAACTGGAGTGAGGCACTGGACATGACATCATTGTGCTCGCTGGATCGCTCCTTTGTTTTTCCTGGTAACGATTTCTTTTCTCTCACCTTTTCACTCTAGATTTTTCAACATCAACCCAGCACAATCCCAACAGGGGTCAAGATGTTGTTTCCGTTAGACTCTAGATGCATTGTTGCATTTACTGCCCAAGACTTCATTTGAAGTACGAAGCAAGGGAAGTTAAATAATTTGCCACTTTGATTTAGTCCATTATGTGCCCAAAACTAAAACATTATCAATAATGACTCTTTTAGCTCCATTGGCAATGGACGGATCACCCTAGATTTTTCCTATTAAGTATTTCTTTTCTATCACCTATTCACCCTAGATTGCCCAAACTTTATATGCCGCATGCAGCCATGCAGGGAATATTTTGTCTAGTGATTGAAATTTTGAAAATCTTTTTTTTTTTGTGTTTTAAATTTAGGCGAACAAGTTCAAGTAGTAGCATGCTTGGCTGCATTTAAGCAGGATACTGAAATTATTACACCATTTAAAGTTGCTGAACTTATGAACAAAAATGGGTTTGGGGAGAACAACGACGACAAAGAAGGCCGCTGTGATGCTTCTCACTCTCACGATGTTTCTGATGCAGAAGAAATAAATGACAGTGAAGATATTGATAAGACAAATAGAAATAAAATGCAGGGGAATGTTGAACCCGAGAAAGAAGTTTCTGCTGGTGCGTCACTTCTGAGAATGGAAGAGTACAAAAGACAGACTGAATCTCTAGTGCAAAGATTTAAAAACTCTCACTTCTTTGCCCGAATTGCTGGGTCTGGTGAGGTACTATGGACAAAAAGAAAAGCTGTGGAGGACTCCTCTGGGATTGAAGAAAGGTTCATGGGAAACAGTTCAGATACTAAGAACAATTCAAAAAAGAAGCTTCCTTCTAATGCTGCCATTGATAGGGGGAATTTTGATGGGGTCACATCTGGAGGAGTGGCAAGGAATGCTACCAAGTGCTGTGCCCTCCCGAATGGAGACATTGGGGTATGTTTCAAACAAAGTTGATGGAAGTCACTCTATAAATCCAGCTCCTGCCCTCCCTCCCCCTTTCTTAGGTTAGGGAATTTCCGTTTTCGGATGGGAGAGGTGGGTGGCATTTATTTTGTCAATTTACTCCAACATTAGTTGGTTTGACGTGAAAGTAAGAAGTTATAAAGGAATATATGATTTAACTAATACGTAGTAGTATATTTTTTTTATCTGATGTGACACTAATAAATAGGAGTAACCGAGTAACTGAGTAAAACCAATAAAAAAAGTGCAATGTTGTCAATTTACTTATCTGTTATTTCAGCTGTGGTGCCATGAGTTAAGAATATAGGATAAAATAGTGATTAGCTTCATTGTGCTCCTACAGGATGCTACATGATGGCCTGGAGCTTTCTGGATATGTGTGCTTAAGCGATCACGTTTACTTAATAAAATAATGTAAAGGGGCAGCCATATATCAATGACACCTAATGCTTATCTTGATTCTATAAAATTCATATAGTAACTAACTATAGTTATTAAAGGCGTGAAGTGCATAGGGGGCCTAGCAGATTGAGGCATTAAACGAGCCACCTCATTTTGTCCATCCAGTTCATCATCTACGTTCCGCCTCATTATTATCAGCAAACCCAAATTTGTTTTCTCCGTCAAGTAGATAAGTTTCTCAAATGGAATGTTGCCTTCTTTCCCTTCTCCATTGATGCCTCTCCCCTCTCCATAGGTGCCCTTCTCTTATCCACATGCGTGTAGGCCTAAAGCTCAAATTGTGTATGATGGGATTGTCAAGACATCTTTTGCTCTATTAAAATATGCAGGTGCCCCATGTCAAATTTTCATCTTCAAAGAAAAACTTGTTTTCCTCTTCAAATTCTCCTTCTATTTTTCCCATCAACCATTTATTGCTATCATCTATACCACTTTAAAAAATGGAACCAATGAAAGCATGTGCATCGTATCGTCTATTTAGTGCACGATTGTATTTCACAAATACCAAATCATTAACCTTTATTTAGCAAGCATGTTTTCTTATTGCCAAGAATCTTTTACACACAGTCTGTGCTCTATTGTTTTCCCACCGTTCTTTTGGAGACACCATATCTCTTTGTCCAATTGCCAGACGTCGCCAAAATGGACTTATAGCTTTGTAGTACAAAGAATGTTGCTAAATTTTATATCTTGCTTTACACGGGAACCAACCAATCTCTCTATGGCTTCCATAAAGCCATTCACCACCTTCCTATTTGAAATTGAACTTGATCAGGAGTAGAATTCTAGATGCCGAGTAATATCGTGCAACATGCAATGGTTGATGGAGTTGGCATTCCTATGGTATCAATGATTTCAAACACTTTCTCTCTCTCTCTCTCTCTGTATATATATGTATCTTTGTCCAATTGCCAGACGTCGCCAAAATGGACTTATAGCTTTGTAGTACAAAGAATGTTGCTAAATTTTTTTTATCTTGCTTTACACGAGAACCAACCAATCTCTCTATGGCTTCCATAAAACCATTCACCACCTTTCTATTTGAAATTGAACTTGATCAGGAGTAGAATTCTAGATGCCGAGTAATATCGTGCAACATGCAATGGTTGATGGAGTTGGCATTCCTATGGTATCAATGATTTCAAACACTTTCTCTCTCTCTCTCTCTCTCTCTGTATGTGTGCGTGTGTGTGCGTGTGTGTGTGTGTGTGTGTATATATATACATGGAGGGAATTCGATATGTAAAGAAGAATTCACAACTTTACGAGTAACGGAGTAAGCATAGCATGTCTAAGTACAATCAAAATCCTGTGATTGCCTTACGGTATATTTCCAGTGCAGGGCATGTGTAGAAAAACATAAAATATTGTTTATATTACTCTCTTTGTCCCTAAATAAATTTTACCATTTATAATCATGGGTATTTTTCTTCAATGTACAAGGTTGTTGAACAATGTAGTCTCTCAAGTGATGATTTTTTAGTTTGAAGTACCAACTAAGTGCTCTTCACTTTTATTGTCTGGAAGGGTGCAGGTACTCTTACAGATAAATGTTGGTGCTGAATTTGTGAGAGATCCTGTATTGGAAATTCTTCAGTTTGAGAAATATCAGGATATTAGTTTGCCTTCTGTGGGTTACGAAGATTCAGTGTCGCCAAACCAAGATCCATGTGGTGAGCTTTTAAAATGGTTGTTTCCTTTGGAGAATTCTATTCCTCCTCCAGCACGATCTCTAACCCCACCTCAGTTCACTTCTGTTGCAAGCATCCGTAGTACATCTACCAGGGTTGCCTTATCTGGATCAACTGGCTCTCAGCTTTTTTCTTTTGGAAACTTCAGAAGTTACTCCATGTCCTCATTGCCACCAAATATTTTACCCCCTTCATCTACTTCAACTCCGAATTGTGGCCCAGGTTTTGAACCAGATGACTGGGAGCGGTTTTCATTTCGTAAGGCAATCAAAAGTGAAAATAGCGGTAGTGGAGGACTTTTATCTTATAGAGGGGTTTCATTGGAACCTGAAAGGTTTTCTGTTCATTGTGGTTTGGAAGGGATTCATATACCTGGAAGGAAATGGAGGAGGAAAATTGAAATAATTCAACCACTGGAAATTACTTCTTTTGCTGCTTACTGCAGCACAGATGACCTCATCTGTGTTCAAATAAAGGTATGTCATTCTTAAATTTAATCTTTTTTCTTTATTCCATCCATCTACATTTAGCTGTTGTCATTGTTAACTGTTATTTTAAGAAATAAGAAGTTTGACAAAAAAATGACATCCACCATATATTATGTATGAAACGAAAGTTTATTTGTCCACCAATTGTGGATACATGTAAAAAGACCTTCAGATGCTACTGTTTGTGTGCTAATGTGAGTGCTTTTCAACATCTTCCTCAAGCCGGAACATGTAGATCAAATGTTCCGAGCTTGCTAAAAGTGCATTCTATCATTGGACCTTTAAGATCTTTTTAGTGAAAATATATGCCAGCCTGTTGTTTGAGATGAAAAATAAGGTAATAATATTTCCATTACTAACATTCTCTCAAAAACATTACACCATGTTGCGTTTCCTTCTTTTACGAAGCACTTGGTAAGATGCATGGTTAGATGCAATATGCAGTGATGCAGTCATGTTTGGTTGTTACATAATAGGTTCATTGGTTCTAGCATACGAAATTCTACTCTGTACTTGACTACTTTATTAAGAAGATGCTTTAACCAAATAAGCATCAGAGGCTCTGAGTGTCACTGAACACTATTTAGCATTTGCACTAGATTGAATTTTTACTCATCCACATGACTAAGTTGCCAGAAAACAGACGACATATCCTAACATTGACCTTTTATTTGATGCGCATCTATTCCAATCTGGCTCTTTGTAACCAACCATTTCTGTAGTCTGTACCCACTACCCTCACAATTTGTATACCATAAAGCAGTTCTAGGATTTTTTAATGCACCTTCTATTCCAAAATATGAGTTTTTTGTTTGTAGTGTGGCTTTCACTGAAAACAAATAAACCGACATACTTTACTAAATTGCAGAATTGTACCTCAAGTAATGCCAACACAGTCAAATCGTTTAAAAATATAATGGTTAGCAACGCCTCAAGGGTATATTGTAGACCTAAAAGTTAGGGTGGTGTTTAAAACTTTTAACCAAAAAAGTGGAAATAATTTTTAACTGCACGGTGATGGAAAGTAGGACAAATAAAATGGGACAAGGAGAGTACATCTCAAAATAAAATGGGAGAAAGTGGGATCCATGAATAGTGAAAATGAAATCCCTCTAGGGACGGAGGGAATAATGAGTAATATGTATAGACTATAGCGTCATTACCGAAATTATCTTATTGAATTGAAACAGAGCGAAAAATAACAATGCATTTAGCACATTTGCTGTAATGGGTCAAAATCAGAATAGCAGTTATGACTATTTTTTAATATTGCATCTTGTTTTTAAAGGGTGATAGTAGGCAGAAGGTGTGTAAGTTTATATCTATTAAGTGATGTCTCTGAATTACAGAGTAATTCTTAAAAGAGTAATTTGTGAACATGTTAGTTGATCATGATGTACATATAACAATTCTAAAGGTGAAGTGGGCAAATCTTCCTTACGTTCCAGTACTAAGTATTATCATTCACCTTCGCAGAATGTTGCTCCAGAACATACACCAGATGTTGTTGTGTATTTAGATTCTATATCAATTGTTTTTGAAGAAGCTTCAGAAAGTGGGCTACCTTTATCTTTACCAACTGCATGTATTGAAGCTGGGAATGACCACTGTTTACCAAATTTAGCTCTCAGGTTTCTCCATTTGAACTTATTCACTTTTCTAAATTAATCATCTTTAATTTAACTGGATCTATTGAAGATTATTTGTTTTTCATGCTTTTTAATGATATAGTCACATCCTTTTGTGTTATAAATACCGTCTATATCCAACAAATTTAAGTTTATGTGGTGTCGTGATGATAGAATGAATGTTGTTTAGATTATATAGAACACAATATCAATTGTTGAGGCTATTTGGATGAAGTGATGAAATGTGCCCAATATTTTATGAGTTTGTGAAGCTTTCCTCCTAGTCAAATCTTGACGAACTACCATTTGACTGACCATGTTTATGGAACCAAATGTCGAAAGACACAAAATGTGTGATATGGTTTAAGGATGCAAGTGTTTGCATGCTGCAACTCGTATCTTCCTTACTATGCATTGCACTCATGTCACACAACCTATAGACAGCAGCCAGTGATCCAGGCTGCTGTCACATTGCCTTTGGTTGGTCAGGCTTCATCCACTGCACTTGACCTAGGTCCCAAATAAATCTTTCATCTGCAATACCTCCTGAAAATGCCTGCACTAAAATCCACCTTTCAAGCATTATATATTTTTATGTTTTAATTGAGATGAGAATGCTTTAGTTTATAGTTTATCCATGTGTATTTGGTTTTATTTCTGGTCTTTGTTCGTGCTACTTTTCTATGTCATTGTGATCATGTGTTTTGAGACGAGGATATTCTAGAAATAGCTTCTCTACTTTCTGAGTTGTGCTAAGGTCTGCGTACACACCCTCCCTAGGCCCACTCTGTTGGAATTTATTGTTTCTGTTGTTTTTATTTTGAGTGTTATTGACCCTATTACAATATAGTATCTGTTCGTACTTTCTCAACCTAATGACGCATAACGAGCCAATTTCTCCACCTCCACTAAGAATCAAACCTAGGTGAGCTTCCCCATGAATCTTGGGGAGTGGATTTTATGTTCCTCAAGCCAAGGGAGAAGCTCAATGTCTGTTGTTAATGCTAGATAGTTGCACAATAAAATTACAAAGATCATTTATTATAGAGCAAGTAGAGGAAAGAATTAGCTAGACATTGAATGAAGATATTGAAACGGGTAAGTCTTGGAGCTTTGATGAATATAGCACTATTTGTAATCCAATGGAAATAATAACCAGCCTGACCACTATGTTTTAAAAATAGAGCGGCAAAACAACATTTATGTGTCCCTGGAGCAGTGGAGCGTCCCCTGTGTCTTAGAAAGTAGAGGGGGGAGACACTTTTTAGGCATATCAAGTATGTGTCCCCAGTGTGTCTATCACTCATACTGAACGGAGTATTTGGAAGTACTGTTATCCATCATCCATAGTTCTCATTTAGTTATCTGCTAGTGTTTGATTTACATTTTAGATTTTCTCAACCAAAAAAGAATCTGAAATGGGGTTTCTAGCTTAAAGATTAGTGACTGGATTATTTCTTAAATTTTATTAATATTTCTTTTTGTTTTTGGAATATGTGCAACAACACTATTGTATCATCTATTAAGTGTTCTCAGATTCTCAAGTAGTGAGATTCTTGAAGAGAATATGAGAAAACAGTTTTTTCAAAAGTGCATTTGGAAGGAGTTAAATAAAGAACTACATGAATAAGAGAAGCTTTCCCTATAATAATCTGTATGTTGGATGTTTGACTATTTGCCAAGTATAATGCCCCCTCTCTTCAGACACTCACCCACCAAAAGAATATTAACTAAACAAATCAAACTTTTAGATTCCTTTCAAACTTAATTGTCTGATATTCAACAGAGGACATAAGCTTATTTGCATACAAATGTATGGATGTGCATATTTGGAATTGTAGTTTCATCTGCTCTATTGGAAATTGGAATTACTGCTTACGGCTTGTATTCATATCTTATCTTGGCGAAACGTATACACCTTTGACAGGAGAGGTGAAGAACACTCCTTTATTCTCAAACCAGCAACTTCCACGGGCACAAACTCCAAGGTTTGCAGTGAGCGAAGTTCACAATCACGCATTAGTGCTGGAAATGTAGCATCTACAAGAAAATATTCTTTGAATGCCAAGGCGAGAAATAGTGTTTCACCGGCGGATCATTATGCAATTCTTGTATCATGCAGATGCAATTATACTGGTAAGAACTGTGTTTTGTTTCATCATATCCCTCTTCATCTCTGCAGATGTACTCTCTTCCACTTATCTGCTTGTTTCTTGCTCTGTCGGTTCTTCTTTGCAGGGTCTAAGTTGTTCTTCAAACAGCAGACAAGCTGGCGACCGCGAATCTCCAGGGATTTGATGATCTCTGTTGCATCCGAAATGTCGAAACAAACTTTAGAATCTAATGAAAGAGTAGCACAGCTTCCAGCGCAGGTTTTTTTGCAGATAAATCCCAGAATTGATGTTGAGCTAATTTTGAACACAAGAGCTGCCTGTAATAATGTTCAGTGATTCATCAGGTCCTAACTCTTCAAGCATCAAATTTGACATCTGAAGACCTAACAATGACAGTGCTGGCTCCAGCCTCCCTTACTTCTCCGCCTTCTTTGATGTCACTCAGCTCACCAACATCGCCAGCAAGTCCATTTTTTGGGTCTAGGTTCTCAGAGAAACTGGATG